AACGCGTATATAAATGTACTCTTTATCAAACTATATTGTCCCATAAGTTAGGTTTCTTCTTTTTAAATAGAAATTTTCTATCTTAAAATGACACCAAACCAAGCTTCTGCCGCCCTGGCGTCCTCTTCCACAACATCTTCGTCCCCGCTTTCCTCCTCTAAATAAAAAATGGATGACGGAGGAGACTCATCCACGACCTCCGACACTAAACTCTCCTCCTCTTGCATGTTTCCTCTGTCCATAGCGTTCCTTGACAGCGTCGTTTTTAAGTCACCAATTTAGTGCTACTTGGTCCCAATGGAAATTCCCATTGGGAACCTGCTAGCACTAAGCTGCTAACTGGTTAGCAAGATGCTTCTGAGACACCGGTGACAACCAAATGGCTTGTGAACCTTCCGCCACAACAATCCCGCCCCCTTGATAATCGACCAATCACATCCACTTTATTCACTCGTGTAAAGTCGGGCACCACTCGGGAGAAACAGTTGAACAGCAGCTTTCCTGCAACTTTAAGGCACCAGAACCAAACAAAGATCCTCTCTGCATTTAATTTGTGGAAAGACAATAAATGTAAACGTCCTGCAGATTTTTAGAACTGGACCTTTTACCCAGACACACACTGCAGTGATGATGATGATGATCCTATAATCATTATCAGAAATACTTTAATAATCCCAGAGGGGAATTACTTTTGTTACACGCTTCAGTTAACGTTTTTATATATATATATATATACATATATATATATATATACATACATATGTAAAACTAAATCCAAGTAAAGTGATACGTGGCGTGAAAAATGGTGCATAAATGTCAATTACAGAGTGGGGGGAGTTGCCTGAATCACTTGAGGGAGGCATTATACAGGCTAATTATGATGAAGGACTGAAGTTAATTGATCTAAAATGCCAGAACTTGGTCCTTTTAAGATCCTCACCCCCAGATTCCACATACTGTCAGCGCTCCGCTCACGTACGTCGTGTGGAGTACTTGTCTTTGACGTTAATCAATGAGCGCTGATCCACATCCACCGCCACTCCTCCGTCCGTCAGCGTCAAAATACGGAGTTGAGCTATTTTTTCCTCTGTTCTGGCCAGGTCAAGATCCGCTATTGCAATCGCTCCAAACAGGAAAAACAACGTCGAGAAGATCCAGTTTCTCAAAATATATTAACAACATTGGTAACTATATATATATATATATATATATATATATATATATATATATATTCCCAAAAATTAAGAGCGTTTATTTAAATGATTGGATGCAGACTATTGGTATTTCATCACAACAGGAAGCAGATTTCTCATCTACGTCAAATAATTTATTTTATACAGAGAGGCTTAAAAGTTTAAACAAATCCATTTAAAACTCATAAGATCGCTTCTCAAAACTTTTTTTTATATATATTTTTTATATATTTGAATAGGGACAAAGCACATTAATGAACATCAGTATAAAAACAAATGTAAATATGCTTGATGATGATAGCTTGATGATGATAGCTCTAAAGCTAGTTTTCATCCGTAGTCCCTAGGCAGTTTAGTGGTCACATGACTTCAAAACAAACGTCTTTTTGCAGGAATGGATGAAGAGATGCTGAGTTTGGAAGTAGAGAACAAACGGTTCATACAAAACATGTATGATCCCAGTTATCCCTGCTACAGAAATCCACAGCAAAAAGAAAATTAGGCAGAAACTGAACATCTGCTGGATGATACGTCGTATTAAATCAAGCGTTAAGTTATGCACGTTTTGCTCCTTTGAAGTTAATAATATGGCGCATGCTCTCCTCAAACTCCGAGGACGTCGGAGCGCAGCGGGAAGGGAGGAACAGCGGAGGCTGTAGGCTTTGCTTTGCTCAGACGGTCTGGAGCCCAGCGGGGCGCAGCATCGGGGATTTGGGGGTTAGTTTTCATCCATCCGGATGCAATCAGCCTCTTGCTGAAGGAACGCATCAATCTAAATCCTCCTAGAAACGGATTCCACCTGGAAAAATCCTGGAGATCCTCTATAATCCGTGTGTTGATGTTTAGTCGAACACTTTTCCTCCAAATGTCCTAATTTGTAGAAAATCGGATGCAGCTGAAGGTACCTGCCTATAGATGATTATGGAAAGTAGTAGAAACATCCAGAAGGCCCCTACCTGGGTCCGAGTAGCCATGGCAACCAGACTTTTTGGTCACATTCCAGCCAATCGGCGCCGTATCGACTCGTTTGGTTCCGTCTGCTGCTGATCGGGCTCCATTGTTGCTTAATGCAGATCAGTGTGATGTTTAAGAAGACAGGAAAAATGGCCGCTGTGTTTCTATGACCGCCATCGCCTCAGACGGGGAATTAGGCCACAATTAAAACAAAATAACAATAACGGCCTTTTTTAAGCTGCATTTACTGATGGGCCTCACAGCAGCTTTAGCTCCGGGTTTAAACGTCGCCTCCTAGATTAAACTGGGATTTTATTCGTTTATCTTTTTCAGTGTTTTAAAGGTCTGTGCATGGATGTGGTCGTGATGAAGATGATCAGAAACATCCGGCTTGATGCTCCTTATTGAGATTTTAGAATTTTCTTAGATTGCTTGAAAGGAAGTTAATTTTTTTCCATCCTTATTTCAGTGTTAAAGTTTTCCTGCTGGTTGTTTAGATTTTTTGAGACCAGATGTGACCTTTGACCCCTTTAGCTGTTGGTTAGGACACGAGAACCCCTGTTTTCCACCTGTTGGAGAAGATCCGGAACAGGCAGAACGTCCGTCTCCTGTTCTCTGAGAACATGTAGGATGAAACCGCTGCGCTGAACGGGCCGGTCCGTTTTAAACGCCGTGATTCTGAAGCTTGTAGAGATTTATGATCCGTGTTCCGGTTCTCTGAAACTGTTCTTGGTCTCTGGCGTCGTCATTCCGGTTCTCTAATGTTGTTCCTGTTCTCTGCTGTTCTGTCGCAGGAGGATAACGGGATGCCGATCCACTTGAAGGGAGGCAGCGGCGACGCCCTGCTGTACCGGGCCACCATGGCGCTCACCGTTCTGGGTGAGAAAGCCTTTATTTCTCTGACAGGAAGCGGAACGTCTGCGGTTCTGTCTGACCCCCCCCCATCTCTCCCTGCAGGCGTCGGCTTCACTCTCTATGAGCTGGTGAAGGCATCCTTCCCCCAGAAGAGGGACTGAATCCGGTCCGGCTGTTTACTCCCTGCCGACGGAGCGACCCAGTTTGTACAAAGATGTTCCAGAGTGTTCCGGTTCCGTGTTCCCTCCCCTCTCTGTTCTTATTCCATGTTCTTGGAGTGGTAACTTATTCCTTCTACAATAAACAGAATCTTCAGAACCTCTAATGACCCAAACGAACAGAACTCCTGTAACTTCCGAGCCGCATCAGTCCAGAACTTCTACATTAAACATAGAATTAAAACAAGAGTTGTGTTTGTTGCTTTCCTGTCTTTCACCACTAGGGGTCAGGGTTCACCGTCTGTGTTTTTAGGTCCAGGTTCTGCTGATGAGGCGGGTTCAGAGCCGCTGTTCTGTCAGACCAGCATACCCATAGTCCATACGCTATAACGGTGGAGTCAGCGACGCGTAGCGCAAATATAAGAGAAGAACACTCTGAATTAAAAACACTGATCATTTATTGAACAGGATGGAATAATTTCCTTTTTACTTTCAGAAGTTTGAATTCTGAATATTAGCGGACTTTTGCTTTAAAACTCGACCTGAGAACTCAATAAAAAATATAAATATCACTATATATATATATTTTAATAATTGGAAACCAATGTGTTTTATTTTTTTTCCAGCAATAATAGAATAAAATCACAATCTACACAATTAAAGTATTTCGCTGCTCATGTTTTACAGTCAAAGTGGGCGGAGCTAAAGCTTATATACTGAAGCTGATTGGCCTGCAGTGAACAGCTGACCAACCAGATATCAGCAGAATGTGTCCATGGCAGGAATAAATGTTGCAGATATGGTATAATTGGAGCTGTCATTCAATAATTTTAATATTTTAACAGTTTTAAAAGACTGATTTTTATCTAATAAACTTTATGTTGCATTTCAATGCTCTTTCTCTAATTAGATTTACTTAAATTATGACATTAAATCATTTTAAATGAAATATTTAATGTCACTCTGGGACACATATTGACCTTGAGGCTGCAGCGCCACCTTGTGGAGACCAGCAGCTCATCTGGATGAGCTCTGACCAATCAGGACACGCGCATCATCATCCTCCAGGTGAGGAACATCTGCCAGGCTGCCACCAGAGGGCGCCAGAGGCCGCACAGATGTTCCGACTTGGCGCCACGATGCAAGTCTCTAAGATCTAATTAAAAAGCCAAAACGCGGTTTGGCAGCGATAATTACGTCACGCATCGTTCCTTTCAGCACATCCTGATGGATTTGATCAAACTTGCATAACAGCTGACATTAGCGCTCATTCAGAACAGCTGATGTTGGGTTTTTATTCCTCCTCTCTGGTTTTAAGGATGGATCTGTCTCCAGATGGCAGGAATCTGAACAGGCGCTTCATTTATGGCCCTGAAGGCCCTTTCTGGTCCCCTTGGAACCTTTAACGCGCCAGGAACCTTCAGCTGCTTTATTCAGCTCTAATATGAACCCATGAATGAAAAACACCTGAAACCAGTCCTGGACACGTGTCAGAACTTTTCCCAGATAATTCAAGCGCCCTTTGAAACAAACCCACAATGATGGGTTTAAAAGTAGGAAAAAGCTTGACTCAGGCTTTAGTCTTCTGCGCTGAGGAATATTTTCCCCATAATTCCCGGAATCCAACGGGAATAAAGCCCTCAGACAGTTTTCCTGACCCCCTTTCCGCGCTGCGCCGCTGTCTCCATGCGCAGCCGGGGCGCACAGATCCTCCATCAGCGGAAAGGAATGCAGAAAACTATGGAAAAGTTTCCGTGAGTCTGCCAGCCCTCTCAGAGGTTACGCGCCCCTTTCTGGCCCGGCTGCGTGTCGTAAGAGTTTGGAGAGCCCCCCCTCCCCCGTTAAGTAGCAGACCGTCTGGGAACTCTCCCCACTTGGAAGGAGACTCTCCGACGCGTCGGGAACCCACGCAGATCGTGGACTCGGCAGCGGACCACACCAGGACTCGGTTTTTCTCAGGCTGGGATCCGCAGAGGCTTTAACTCATTTATTCACTCACAGATTTTCAGCGGTTCCATCCGCAGGTGAGTCTGGATTATTCTCCATTTTCAAACTTTTATAGCTCTTGAGCCACATGGAGTAAAAACAAAGTTATTGGCTCCATGTAAAGAATAAAATCTCTAATTTTCTCCTGTATTTTCTGATTTACAGGAACTGCACTGCTATGTTTGTAGATGTGCTTCATAAAACAACTTCATTTCTCACCTGGATTTGCTATGTAGAAATAATTAAGAATTGTTCTCCAGCAGGATAGAACTATTTAACACTCTTCTTTATGATAAAAAATTAATAAAAGTTGACTTTAATGGAGCTTTTCATGCAGATATTTAAAGGAGGTTTAAGTTTTATTTGATTCATTTCGGTTCTAGAATCCCGTCCGTGTCTTGGCACCGCTGTGCGTAATTACGCACGGAACCGAACCTTCTTCCAGCCTTTTCTGAACACTGAGAGGAAAAGAAAACTTGATTCCTTTGAACATAAGTTGAAGTCATTTGGTTCCTAATGTTCTGCAACAGAACAGAAACTCTGAGTGGAAAAAAAAAACCTTCTGATGGTCGGAAGATGGGAACTTTAGATTGGAGCTTCTGCGGCGTTTGACGTTTTTGTTGCGCATTTATATTTTGCTTTATGTTAAAGTTGAGGAGTATTTTTCAGGGAGACATTATGAGTTTTACTCTGAGGAAGCTGCAGCTCTAACCTCCTCCTCCTCCTTGCAGCTTTTCCTTTGTACAGCTGAGGCAGAGGAGCTGAAGATGAAGAGCAGGTTGTCTCTGGCTGCCTTGGCCCTCCTGGCCCTCCTGCTGCAGCTGTCCTCCTCCCAGGCCCAGGACTCAGGTAAAGCTGCTTCTCCTCCTCCTCCTCCTCTTCCAACCCTCAATCTGACTTCCAGCTCCTCTCATCTTCTCTTTACCTCCAACAGAAAAGTCTGAATAAACTCTGAGAAAGGAAAAAGTGTGCGTTTGATTTGTTGAACTATTTTTCTCTCCACAGCCTCAGTTTTGTTTCCCTTTGCAGGAATTTGACAAATGTCCTGAAATCTGCCTCAGATTTATGGAGGCAGCTTTCAGACCAGATGTTGCCTCTAAATCATGACTTTAACTTCAGCGACGTTAGAGACTCTAAATATCTATTTAAAAACATTAATTAGAGGAGAACTTCGTCTCTATAGATTTTACTTCTTTACTAAAAAACATAAAAACATTTTTTTTTTCTGTTAGCGCGGCTTTTTTATGACTTAGATGGAGTTCGTTGTGTTTACAGCAGGGGGCGCTCTTGCTCCAACTCTAGCTCCAGGTTTAGATGAAACTTGTCCCGTTTATAAAGACAGAGGGGGGGGGTGGGGGGTGGGGTGGGGGGGGGGGGGGGGGGGGGAACGGGAGCACTTGGATATAGTTGATCAAGGATCCTCCCAACATTTTTCCTCCTGACTAAATAAAAATGTATTTTCCAGAAGATGGGAAAAAAATGGCTGAAGTTAAGAAAGGGAAAAGATCCAGGAGAGGTTGGGGCCTCCTGGGGCCTCCTGGGGCTCCTGTCTCTCATTTAGAGCCCCATCAGGGGCGGCGGCACCCATCATGGCGCAACATCGTTGGACCTTCTCTGTCTGGAGTTAAAGTCCAGCAGCAGAAAGAGTCAAACACTGAGAGCAGAAGAAGATCTGGGTGGGGTCGGGGGTTGGGGGGGAGGGTTGGAACGATGGATGTCTGGACCTGAAATTCCCCCCCCCCGGTTGTTTCTGGATGCGTTGACCCGTTTGGAAGCAGAAGCAGCGCCGTGGACTCACCAGGTTGGTGGATCCTCCATCTCTGATGTCCTGTGATCTTCCCGGTCAGCCTTGACGGCCTCTCTGGGCCCAAAGTCTCGGCTTTCCAGCAATATTTTACAATGATGCTCTTCACAAACCCTCTGACTGGTTGGTGGTTTAGGAGACCAGGATCCTCTGTAGCTAGAAGGACAAGATGCTGCTCAGATCTTCTACCGTTAGACCTTCATCCAGCTCAGATCTTCTACCGTTAGACCTTCACCCAGCTAAGCTCAGATCTTCTACCGTTAGACCTTCATCCAGCTAAGCTCAGATCTTCTACTGTTAGACCTTCACCCAGCTAAGCTCAGATCTTCTACCGTTAGACCTTCATCCAGCTAAGCTCAGATCTTCTACCGTTAGACCTTCACCTAGCTAAGCTCAGATCTTCTACCGTTAGACCTTCATCCAGCTAAGCTCAGATCTTCTACCGTTAGACCTTCATCCAGCTAAGCTCAGATCTTCTACCGTTAGACCTTCACCCAGCTAAGCTCAGATCTTCTACCGTTAGACCTTCATCCAGCTAAGCTCAGATCTTCTACCGTTAGACCTTCACCCAGCTAAGCTCAGATCTTCTACCGTTAGACCTTCACCCAGCTAAGCTCAGATCTTCTACCGTTAGACCTTCACCCAGCTAAGCTCAGATCTTCTACCGTTAGACCTTCACCCAGCTCAGCTCAGATCTTCTACCGTTAGACCTTCACCCAGCTAAGCTCAGATCTTCTACCGTTAGACCTTCACCTAGCTAAGCTCAGATCTTCTACCGTTAGACCTTCATCCAGCTAAGCTCAGATCTTCTACCGTTAGACCTTCACCTAGCTAAGCTCAGATCTTCTACCGTTAGACCTTCATCCAGCTAAGCTCAGATCTTCTACCGTTAGACCTTCACCTTGCTAAGCTCAGATCTTCTACCGTTAGACCTTCACCCAGCTAAGCTCAGATCTTCTACCGTTAGACCTTCACCTAGCTAAGCTCAGATCTTCTACCGTTAGACCTTCACCTAGCTAAGCTCAGATCTACTACCGTTAGACCTTCATCCAGCTAAGCTCAGATCTTCTACCGTTAGACCTTCACCTTGCTAAGCTCAGATCTTCTACCGTTAGACCTTCACCCAGCTAAGCTCAGATCTTCTACCGTTAGACCTTCACCTAGCTAAGCTCAGATCTTCTACAGTTAGACCTTCACCTAGCTAAGCTCAGATCTTCTACTGTTAGACCTTCATCCAGCTAAGCTCAGATCTTCTACCGTTAGACCTTCACCCAGCTAAGCAGAGATCTTCTACCGTTAGACCTTCACCCAGCTAAGCTCAGATCTTCTACCGTTAGACCTTCACCTAGCTAAGCTCAGATCTTCTACTGTTAGACCTTCATCCAGCTAAGCTCAGATCTTCTACCGTTAGACCTTCACCCAGCTAAGCAGAGATCTTCTACCGTTAGACCTTCACCCAGCTAAGCTCAGATCTTCTACCGTTAGACCTTCACCTAGCTAAGCTCAGATCTTCTACCGTTAGACCTTCACCCAGCTAAGCTCAGATCTTCTACCGTTAGACCTTCACCTAGCTAAGCTCAGATCTTCTACTGTTAGACCTTCATCCAGCTAAGCTCAGATCTTCTACTGTTAGACCTTCACCCAGCTAAGCTCAGATCTTCTACCGTTAGACCTTCACCCAGCTAAGCTCAGATCTTCTACCGTTAGACCTTTACACAGCTAAGCTCAGATCTTTTACCGTTAGACCTTCACCTAGCTAAGCTCAGATCTTCTACCGTTAGACCTTCATCCAGCTAAGCTCAGATCTTCTACCGTTAGACCTTCACCCAGCTAAGCTCAGATCTTCTACCGTTAGACCTTCACCCAGCTAGGCTCAGATCTTCTACTGTTAGAGCTTCATTCAGCTCAGCTTAGATAATCTACCGTTAGACCTTCATCCAGCTCAGCTCAGATCTTCTACCGTTAGACCTTCATCCAGCTAAGCTCAGATCTTCTACAGTTAGACCTTCACCCAGCTAAGCTCAGATCTTCTACCGTTAGACCTTCACCCAGCTAAGCTCAGATCTTCTACCGTTAGACCTTCATCCAGCTAAGCTCAGATCTTCTACCGTTAGACCTTCACCCAGCTAAGCTCAGATCTTCTACCGTTAGACCTTCATCCAGCTAAGCTCAGATCTTCTACCGTTAGACCTTCACCTAGCTAAGCTCAGATCTTCTACCGTTAGACCTTCATCCAGCTAAGCTCAGATCTTCTACCGTTAGACCTTCATCCAGCTAAGCTCAGATCTTCTACCGTTAGACCTTCACCCAGCTAAGCTCAGATCTTCTACCGTTAGACCTTCATCCAGCTAAGCTCAGATCTTCTACCGTTAGACCTTCACCCAGCTAAGCTCAGATCTTCTACCGTTAGACCTTCACCCAGCTAAGCTCAGATCTTCTACCGTTAGACCTTCACCCAGCTAAGCTCAGATCTTCTACCGTTAGACCTTCACCCAGCTCAGCTCAGATCTTCTACCGTTAGACCTTCACCCAGCTAAGCTCAGATCTTCTACCGTTAGACCTTCACCTAGCTAAGCTCAGATCTTCTACCGTTAGACCTTCATCCAGCTAAGCTCAGATCTTCTACCGTTAGACCTTCACCTAGCTAAGCTCAGATCTTCTACCGTTAGACCTTCATCCAGCTAAGCTCAGATCTTCTACCGTTAGACCTTCACCTTGCTAAGCTCAGATCTTCTACCGTTAGACCTTCACCCAGCTAAGCTCAGATCTTCTACCGTTAGACCTTCACCTAGCTAAGCTCAGATCTTCTACCGTTAGACCTTCACCTAGCTAAGCTCAGATCTTCTACCGTTAGACCTTCATCTAGCTAAGCTCAGATCTTCTACCGTTAGACCTTCACCTTGCTAAGCTCAGATCTTCTACCGTTAGACCTTCACCCAGCTAAGCTCAGATCTTCTACCGTTAGACCTTCACCTAGCTAAGCTCAGATCTTCTACCGTTAGACCTTCATCCAGCTAAGCTCAGATCTTCTACCGTTAGACCTTCACCCAGCTAAGCTCAGATCTTCTACCGTTAGACCTTCATCCAGCTAAGCTCAGATCTTCTACCGTTAGACCTTCATCCAGCTAAGCTCAGATCTTCTACTGTTAGACCTTCAGCTAGCTCAGCTTACTGACAGAAACAGATGAGCTTATTTCATACCATCCGTTTCGTTCTCAGTTAGAACCAGATGAGTGTTTTGTTCTAGAAGCTGCTGTAGCCTAACTATAAGTTCAGTTCTATGCAGTTTATCTCTATAGCTCCAATTCACATCATTACATCTCAGGTCACTTTCCAGTTCACCAGATCATCCAGTCAGATTGATTCAAAGTTTTCTATCTAAGGAAAACCAGCTGATTGCATCGACTCATCGACTCTTCAGCAATCCCTCACACTAAGCATGCTTGTAGCGACAGTGGAGAGGAAAAACTCCCTTTGAACAGGAAGAAACCTCCAGCAGAACCAGAACCAGGCAAGTTCAGCTGATTTCTGTAGCTAGCCAGGTCAGGGCTGCACACCCCAACCTGAAGAATATCATTGTGAAATATTGAGATGGTTCGGTGGTCGTCTGCGTACACGGAAACCTTCTGTTTGTCGCTCCAAGTTGTTGAAAACAACTTCCCGTGTACGCCTGCATGATTGTCCCGTCCTGCTGTCCTTCTTCATCTCATTAACTGTAGAATTACTGATGACGCTCACCAGCCACTTTATTAGGTACACCCAATCCTCTGCCTTAGAGCCCCGCCTATCAGCCAATCACAGGGCAGCATTCCTTCATCTGGATTAAAGGGAGGTTGGTACCGGAACCAGATGGTCTGAAAGCAACCAGACAGCAGCTGATTGGAGGACAACGTCTGGTGGAACCAGAGGAGAACGGGCCGCCTGGTTCCGGATGGCGGAGAGGAAACAGAAGGAGAACCACCGGTTCTGTTCGAAGGAATGCCACCTGTGAAGGAACATGTGGAACCTTGGACAAGATGGTCTGCGCGTTCCTCTTCAGTTCAAT